CCATGCTCCCTGAAACCATTGCAAGTAAGCCAGCATCAAAGCTACCACAAAATTCCACTCTAGCTAAGGTGGTTTTTCTACCACACCTCAGCAAAAATGAGAAAGTTGATAATCCTAAGAGATAAACAAAACAACAAAAACAAGAAGCAGTTAGTATTACAAACATTTCCAAAGTATCACAAAAATATGACAGAAAGGAGAACAAATGTCTAGCCAGAAAAATTAAGACCGACATTTGTTTTAATTTTGCTGGGTCTTTTAATTTATCTTTTATCCTTTATTTTATTTTGGTATCAGGGATTGAACCCAGGGGCACTTAACCACTGAGCCACATCCCCAGCACTTTTTAATATTTTATTTAGAGACAGGGTCTCACTGAGTTGCTTAGGGCCTTGCTAAGTTGCTGAGGCTGGCTTTGAACTCACGATCTTCCTGTCTCAGCTCTACAGCCAATGGGATTACAGGTGTGTGCTATAGAGCCAGCCTACACTTTGTTTTTAAACACTTTTAAGAACATTCAGTTGGAAGTCCCCCAAAACAAAAACAAAAAACAAGTCCTTCTTGCCCCCAAATCCATAGCATTCCTTTATAAACTGGAGTACTTTCTTTACTAGTAATTCCACTTCAAAGTATTCATCTTAAGGAAATAATCAGAAACACACAAGATTTTAGCAACACAATGTTCTTTAATTTATTAGTGAAAAACTGGAAACCTAAAAATTCAACAGTAGTTTAATAAAATGTGGCACATATGATGAAATATCATGCAGCCATTTAAAAAGATGTAGAAATATATATGACATAACAAGATAGTCATGGTACTATTGAGTGAAGAAGTTACAAAATGGCATGTACAATTTGATCCCATTTTAAAAAAATCTAAAAATGAACTGGAGAGTCTGGAAGTCCATATGCATAATAGTGGTTCTCCCTGGATGGTGGAATTTTATTAAAACTAATTTTTTTTCTTTTTGCCAATATGGTTATGACTTGTATTGTAAAAAAAAAAAAAAGCACTAAGAATTCTTAAAAAAGTCTCCTTCAAAGTAGGAATGAGAGAGCTTAGCAACCTGAGGCACAGGGATATACATTTTAGTCCAATACTGCTTTAATGATTTGTCAGGATGTTTTGATGTTAGACACCAATTAAAAGGCACTGTGCTGAGTGGAAATGTGTGCAATAGTAGTGCTTGTCTTTCTTTAGGCTGAGGGATCCTTATTCCTAGAAACCTTCCACAGCGCCTAGATACTGGCATTCTAAGCAATATTTCCCTGACACTAAAACATGCCCTTTTACTTTTACACCCACTTATAATATATACTAGTAAGTTTCCTATACCCTTCAGAGTAATGATGGTAAGAGTTAAAAGGCAGACAGGCAAAAGTTTTCAAGTGAGGTCAGATAATAATCCTGAAGGTGAAAGGCAAGTTCAACTGCAGTGGTTCTCAAACTTTAGATTGCAACAGAATCCCTCAAATGGCCTGTGATAACAGATTGTTGGGCCCCACCCCCAGAGTTTGAATCAGCAGGTCGTGGAGAAGACTTAGGAATTTCCATTTTCCCTTTCATTCAACTAATATTTATTGAGTACGTACTATGAGCTAGGTCTTGTGCTAAGAGGAATTTTGATCAAAAGATTTAGTGTTTATTTCAGAAAGCCTGTGTTCTAGAGTAACAGATATATGCTAAGTAAACAAATTATAAAAATAACTAATTAAAATTATTAGTGTTAGAACACAGTAAAAAAGATGAGATTTAATCTTAAATTAGTTAAAAAGCTACCACACAGGATACTAACAGTAGTTTTAGAGGACCCTGAAGACAAAAGGTAAGTATAAATAAAAGTAGAATCTTTAAAAATGATAATTAGCATTTTTAACAAGTTTCTAGGCAATGCTGCTGATATTGCTGATCTGGATGTACACTTTGACAACCACTGCTCTAATGAATAAACTTCCTAATTAGGATTCTGTGGGAGAAAGGGAAGGTGTGGTCACATAAATCCCTCCTACCTTTAGAATCTCAACATGAGATAGGAGCCTCTTAACCATCTAGAGAACGAGTTAAGGCAAAGTTAGCTTTTAGGCCACTTGTCCATTATGGCTCCTCACTCAGGCTTGAAGGGCAACTAAGGCAACATACTTCAAAATTTCAGGGTTTGGGAGATAGGGTAGGGATATTTTTCAGGAATCCCATCAACAAAGCATGGAGGTAAACTGGACCTCTCTGGGTAAGCTCTTTATTTTTTACAGTTGATCTCAGAAATGTCCTCCCAATAGCAGTTTCCTTCTGTTCCCTTGTTCTGGTGAAGGATAACAGCAGACTAGGAGATGGGCTGTAGCTCATTAGGAACCCTGGCCTCAAGTTTCTCATTTCCCATGTTGCCCAGAGTGAGGTACACTTCCATTTTGGGGACTTCATATCCTGTGATATGATTTTTTTTATTAGCACCATAAAAAAGTTTTAACACTAACCTTGTAGGTGAGATTGCCTTGAGAATAAAGTAGATACAATCTAATCACTTTTTCTGTTTGTAATAGAGACTACAAATATTTCCAAGTTTATTATTTCACATGTATGTGCACCTTTCACATATTACTGTACTTCTGGATTAAGCTCAGAGCCATGGGGCTTATTTAAGCAATTCTGAATTGTACAACAATTATTTGCTTTTTTAGTACTGGGGACTGAACCCAGGGCCTCTCACATGCAAGGCAAGTTGCTCTGCCACTAAGCTGACTCCCCAGCCTCTGAATTGCATAATGAAATAACAGGTTTCCCAAGCTTTCTTCCATGCTTAAGGACATTCTTGGGCTATTGCCTGAGAAAAAAACCCCAACCTATGATTTTAAATAAGCCAAAACCAAAATGAAAAAAAAAAAAAAAAACCCAACCAAACAAAACCCCATTAAAATGAAAAGCAATAAACATAAGAACAAGCCTACATATTGTGCTGTTAATGGAAGTAAAAGGTATAAGAAGCCTTTGCATGTATTAACACTATAGTAAACCAATAATGTATAGGAGCCTTCAATAATCAATATTCACCTGATAGAAAGCAGAAACTTCTGATAAATAATTTATACTGACTGTGGTTGGGTTGAACCTGCATCCAGGTCTGATTTAAAGAGGGTAGAGAATGGAATTGATAGGGAGTAAGCAAAGCATGGATTTAGGAGGTCCCTCTTGTACGGTCATAAATAAGGCCCACAGTCTGGGTAGGACAGGAAGGTAAGGGGATAATAAGAGGAAACTGATATTTATACAATGTGTTTACTATGTGCCAAGTCTTTCCCTAAAGATCACCTGACATAACATTTGCTGCATAATCTCAAAACAACCTAAAGTGGCATAATAATTATCCCCATTTTATTCAAGAAAGGGCAGTTATATGTCTGAGTTGAAGCTCAAAGAGTATGTGAGGAAGGCTGGATATGAACCCAGGATTATTTCACTCCATTACCCATATTCTTTGCCTTTCACTATTCTACTTTCCATAAACCTTATTTAAAGTTGCTGTTTAAGTTGACCTGAATTTTTTTAATGATCTTTCAAAGCCTAAATCTAGACTTACATAACAGATGGTACTCTAGTCTGTAAAACTTCCTCTCTTAGGGCGAAAAAAAGCATCACTTTTTGGATCTAGAGAAAACTAACCAGCCTGAGCAGCTTCGGGGGTTACATGTGGCAATTCACGGTGAGTCAAAGCATCCTGTACAACTATGAAATTACACAGGAATCTGTCTCCTAACAGAAATAAAAGGGCAACAGCTACAGTTAAACTTTTTACTGAACTAAATTAACATGCTTACCAAGCTCTTATTAGGAGCTCTTAACACAAAAGAATATTTTAAAATGGTGTTCATTTTTTTAAAACTACCAAAATATATCATTTTGATAGATTAACATTCTCTGAATAAATGTACTACACTGTTGCATTTCATGCTTAAGACTGAACTACTTATGATGTCTTGGCTCTTAGCCTAGAGTATCTTTTTCCCTTCTACCTGGAACACTTCCTCCCAAACCATTTCTCATTCTGCAGTTCTGAGTTAGGTGATTCCTAAACACAATACCCTTTATTTCTTCCATCATTAACACTAACCCTATTATAGAACAACTGCTTTATTTTTCTGTATCCTCTAAGAGGAAAAGCTCTACAGAGGAAAAGAACTGTGTGCAATATGGTAGTGTCCCCAACTGATCAACATAGTACCTGGCCCTCAATAAATGTCTGCTAAGTAAATGAAGGAGAACAGAAGTCCTAACACAGGAAAAAACTTCAACATGCTGATTTATAGCAACTGTTGATTGCTAGCAATGTCCAAATAGCAATTCTCTGGTTCCAAATGAATTACTAATAATTTTAATAGTGTGTGATTCAAAACCAGAGATCCGAGCCCTAGCCAAGATAATCTACATTCACTAATAAATCTTCAAAGTGTTATTAGTAAGCTCAGAATAACCAAAAGTTTGTTTTGTTTGTATATAATTTACTCAACAATGAACACAGCTGCACTAATCCATATTTTTACTCACATTTTACTTGTTCAATAACTAATCCTCTTTACTGAATTATGTTCTTAATGAATCCAATTCTGATTATGCATTAAATTGTGGCAATCAAATAATCTTATTATTTTTAGTAAACTCAGTTTGTTCCAAATGTATTAGAACTTTAACTACAACTCTTATCAGAGAAATATGGTCATGCTATTCAAGGATTAGTTGTTTTTAAATTCCAAAGAAACAATTCAGTAGTATTCAAACAAAATAAAACAAAAGTAGTCCATTAAAACATAGTATTGAAGTAATCTGATTCCTGTTGACCAACAAGGTAAAAATGGTATAATTGCATTTCTGTTTATGGGAGCATTTAAAAACATATTCTTCACAGAAGAGTTTGTATCTGACAGCTCTTTTTTAAATCAAAAGTTGAAAACAAATTTTAACTTTACTCTTTGGTTATTAATTATACCTAATAAATGAGTCACTGATATCAATTCACAATAAATTTATTTTACATAAAAGAAAAGCTTGCTGTTAATGAAAAATTCAGTAGAAAACAGTTCTGCTTTAAGTTGGGGCTCAAGTATAGAAGCTGTTAGTGAAATCTCAGTAGAAAGAGAATTTTGAAAGAAAACATTCTTGGCATGAAAGCTCTAACATAAATTCTGTAATGAAATATTTACCATGCAACTTTATTGGCAGAAAAGCCAGTTTCTGATGACTGGTAAATTTTTCTTTCAGTCTCTTAAGACATTAAAATGGAAGATACTTAAAACTGCTCTACTTGGAGTTAATTATATATAAATAGGGTGTCATGATGGGTAATTTTTCCATAGGTGCACCTATTTAATTGAGCAGTTCTAAGTAGGTAATTGGCACTTTGCCCTTCTGATTTCCCCTTTCCCCCATTAGCCAGTCTGAATCCATTCCAACGACACTGAACACAGTGATCACCTACAAAATAAAATATTTCAAGTTATTAACTATATTAAAAATAAAACTATAACAAACCAGATTGGTATTTAATTTGTTTAAATTACTTCCTATAAGTGGACTTTAAACATTATCAATTTTGCTGAAAGATTAAGGATTTTATTGGAGGCATTTTTATATATCTTCAAGTTATTTGGCAGTTAAAAGTTTAAAATATTTTTGTGATATTCAATTATATTAAAATTTCATAAAATGTCAATATAACCACCTGAAAGTCATAAAATATCCATGATAAACTTTCTGAATAAGTAATGAGGAATTTGAATTTTGTTATTATATGTCAAGCTGTGATATAATTTTCTTCTCATACCCACATTACTTACCTCATCTGCCAGAAGTGATAATTCAGTACTGTTCGCAGCATCATAATCATAGAGAACTCTAGCCTTCCTGCTGCCACTTGACTCCTTAAGGTCATTGAGGTTGGACGGAGAGGTGATTACTATGCCACTTGTTGAAGCCACAGCAGGAGAACCAACTGCATTTGCTAAAGAAGATGGCACAGGTATCCCAGAAGTCTGATTGTTGTTAGAAAGATAACTGGATGGAAAACTGTGGGAAAAGAAAATGTTCAATTAACTATTTCAAAGTGATTAAAGTTCCTGAATGCCACCACTTGGTGGCACTGTTTATCTTCTACCTCCAAATGGACAATTTGCAGATGTTAATTATTTTATACTTTAATGATTCAAGTTACCTCTTGCCTCTTGGGCCAATTATACTAGAGACAATTCAGATGGTTTTCAAATATAAATCTTGAAAATTTGTTTCAAAGCTGTCTTTATTGACTTAAATATAATGGCTACTTACATCCCAGAAAAAAATGATTTAAGTTTTTTTTTAAGGTTTCTTAAGTTAATGCTTTGAGAAATATTAGCATACTTAAACTCTTTTTATGTAAAATGGATCAATCACATTTTCCAATTCATTCCAGTAATATTTATTGAGTACTGCATTACTGTCATAAGCTGAAGACATAAAGATGAAAGGATACTATTTCCTTAAGGATATATAAATAAATGAAAGGATAAGACATTCAAATAATTCGTTATGATGGATAATTATAATGAAATACAAAATCAATATATAGGGAAAAATTCTCAAGTTCATTTTATTCTATTTTTTAGAAAAAAAGTTTAAGTAGCAATCAGTGAAATCTTGTGATTAATATGCTTATGAACAATTTGAAGACAGATTTCTATTTTAAGGCTATTGCTTCACTAATAATATTAACTAGAAAACAGTACAAAATGACTTGTTTATAATCATTTAACTTCAAACATTTCTAAGGTAAGAAATTATCTATGAAAATTCATATTTAAGCCACCTCCCACCCCCACATGCTAGGGATGGAATCCAGGGCCTTGTGCATGCTAGGTAAGTACTATATCACTTAAGGAGCTACATTACCAGCCCCTTACTGAAGTTTAAAAAAAAAAAAAATTCTGTGATGCTGGGATCAAACCCAGGGCCTTATAAATGCCAGGCAAGTGCTCTACCACTGAGTTTTGCCCCCTAGATCTTTCAATATACATGTTCTTAGTTTGCCTAGAATATTCACCCTACCTTTCTTCATTTAGATGACTCCCACTAAAATAACTTCACTTGGAAATTTTGCTAGGCACAACTGAGTCACAGTTAAGATATCCTCACAACACCCTGCACTTCTTTTACTTTTTAAAATTTATCATATGTCCTATTCAGCTACTGTGTGTATTCCCACCTGGACTTTTAAGTATTATGATAGCAAGGACTATATTTGTCCTATATGTTATTTTGTACATTACAATCTAAATTCCATAAAGGCAAGTATTCTTGCCTGTTTTGTTTGATGCTGTAACCCTAGAATATAACAGTGCCTGGCACATGGCAGGTATTTCTGAAGAATGAACGACTGTGCTTTACATACTATTTTGCTTTACTCAGAATAATCGTAACAGAGAGCTTGAAGTCTTACAGAATATTAAAAAACTTTTTTTAAAATAGTGATTATACAAATTTGTTTATCTTGAAGAGTACCTGTCAATGAACCTATATCTCCCTCAATGAACAGCAAAAAGTATTCAGTATCAAGAAAAAAGTGAAACCTCAAATACTTCTAAAGCTTTCTTTATGTGGCACTAAAAAGGTATTCATTTAAATTATCTTCTCATCCCTATTAACCTCTGTGTCAGAAAAGCTCAAAATGTTTTGTTATCTCATTAGTCTGAACATTATTTTCCTTTAAAATAAAAAAAATTAAAAATCCAACTCTAGGGGTTGGGGTTGTGGCTCAGTGGTAGAGCACTTGCCTATCATGTGTGAGGCACTGGGTTCGATTCTCAGCACCACATACAAATAAGTCAATTAAAGGTCCGTTGACATATTAAAAAAATACAACTCTATGTAAACTAATAAAAGCCTTTTGATTCTTCTAATCTTCACCATTGCTATTCTTGTATAAAAATCTGAATTTCTTCTCATATCAGGACTTAATATGCAAAGAGGAAATTACCACCTTCCCAGTTGTTTCTGGAGGTCTAACATGTACTGGTAACACTGTGCATAGTAAGTCATCTGGGCTTCTACAAAGTCATTCAGACAGCGGAGGTGATGGGCCTATGAAGGAAAGTTAAGAGTCAGTTTTAGGTTCTTAAAGTGGTAAATGCTAAAGATGGGACAAGGCACTGTGATATGCAAGAATCATTTTACTATGAGCCTTATTTTTAAAATCAACCTCAGTGGAGCTTGAGGCTGGGAAGTGCTGAGCCGCGCGTCGTGCCCTGCGCTGCCCAGACTAGGGAACAATACAGTCAGGATGGCTAAAGGTGACCCCAAGAAACCAAAGGGCAAGATGTCTGCTTATGCCTTCTTTGTGCAGACTTGCAGAGAAGAACATAAGAAGAAAAATCCAGAAGTCCCTGTCAATTTTGCAGAATTTTCCAAGAAGTGCTCTGAGAGGTGGAAGACAATGTCTGGGAAAGAGAAATCTAAATTTGATGAAATGACAAAGGCAGATAAAGTACGCTATGATCGGGAAATGAAGGACTATGGACCAGCTAAGGGAGGCAAGAAGAAAAAGGACCCTAATGCCCCCAAAAGACCACCGTCTGGATTCTTCTTGTTTTGTTCAGAATTCCGCCCCAAGATCAAGTCCACAAATCCTGGTATCTCCATTGGAGATGTGGCAAAAAAGCTGGGTGAGATGTGGAATAACTTAAGTGACAGTGAAAAGCAGCCATACATCACTAAGGCTGCAAAGCTGAAGGAGAAATATGAGAAGGATGTTGCTGACTATAAGTCTAAAGGAAAGTTTGATGGCACAAAGGGTCCTGCTAAAGTTGCCCGGAAAAAAGTGGAAGAGGAAGACGAAGAAGAGGAGGAAGAGGAGGAGGAGGATGAATAAAAAACTGTTTATCTGTCTTATTGTGAATACCTTAGAGTAGGGGAGCGCCATGATTGACACATCTTATTTGAGATGTGTCTGTTACTCTCATTAGGTTTAATTTCAGAATTTGATCACGATCATATTGTAGTCTCTCAAAATGCTCTAGAAATTGTCAGTGGTTTACATGAAGTGGCCCTGGGTGTCCAGAGCACCCTAAAACTGTATCAAAGTTGTACATATTTCCAAACATTTTTAAAATGAAAAGGCACTCTCGTGTTCTCCTCACTCTGTGCACTTTGCTGTTGGTGTGACAAGGCATTTGAAGATGTTTCTGGCATTTTTTATTAATTTGTAAGGTGGTGTTAACTATATGGTTATTGGCTAGAAATCCTCAGTTATCAACTGTACATATCTATAGTCTGTAAAAAGAACAAAACAACCGAGACAAACTCTTGATGCTCCTTGCTTGGCGTTGAGGCTGTGGGGGGAAGATGCCTTTTGGAGGGGCCGTAGCTCAGGGTGTGCACTGTGAGGCTGGACCTGTTGACACTGCGTTGGGCATCCATTTAGCTTCAGGTTGTCTTGTTTTTGTAGTAAGCAGCATTCTGCTGCCTTTCTTAGTTGTGGAAAAAGGGGGGTCAGCTGGCATGAGAAGTGTTTGAATTTATTTTTAGTTAAGTACGGTAGATTTTAAACTTTGTTTTCAAACAAACTGTAGAACTCTTCATTGTCAGCAAAGAGCTACTGCATCAATGAAAGTTCAAGAACCTTCTGTACTTAAATGCAATTTGCGACGTTATGTTATTTTTTGTATGTTTAGAATGCTGAAATGTTTTTGAAGTTAAATAAACAGTATTACATTTTTAAAACTGTTCCTCCCTATAAATCTGGTAACTTCTATTTTACTCACATGGTCAGCTTAGGACTGAGATGAAGGAGGGGGCTACTTGAAGTTACTGCATGATTTGTTGTATCTGAATGGCATTAAGATGAAGTGTAGACCAGTGAATGTAGTGACAGGCAAGGGCCAGCATCCTTCAGTAGTGTTCAGGAAGGCAGGCAGGTGGGATGGGGGCCAGCTAATTCCAGATTTTACTTCTTACCTTCGGCTTCTACATCCCCTTTTGGTGTCAAATGCATTGCTAAACAGTAAGAATGTCTTCCAGAGTATATAGGGTGTAAAACTTCATACCTTATTTATTCTCACTCCTCTCTGACTCCTGCACATGTAATGGGATGCATAGTTATTTCTTGTGCTCAACATTTGAGGAGGCCTTAAACTGCTGCTTGTCTCCTAGACCCCAGTGAGGGGGGATGGGGTGGGGTAGGGGACATTATCTGTATTTTGGCCCTGTTTTCCTCATTCAAAAAATCAGACATTCCAAGAAAGTTTCTTAAGTTCCATCTTGGGTCACTTCAGCAGGCCGATAGGATCAACATTTCTAAGCAGTAAATGTATCATGAAATAGAGAGTGGCCTACCTGTGATTTGAGCTTATTCACCAGAAATGTAGATTGTTGTTCAATATTCTTAAACTGAAAGAAGCTTGGTTTGTGTTTCAGTGGTTGTATTAGTAAATGGTGTTAACATTTTGCCCAGGTTAGGATGGGGGTGGTTGCTACAGTGGCAAATGGTGATACTAAATATCAGTGGATGGCTTATCTGTACTTCATTGAAGTAACAAATGATAATACTGTTGTGGATGAGTGTCAGCATTGCCTAGCATTAACACTTGGATATAGAAATTTTTTTCTTTTTTTTTGTGTGTGTGTATGGTATTTTACAAGAAAGTAGCTTTTTCTTAAAAGTTCACTCTTCGGAACCTTGCTTGTCTAAGGAGCTGTCTTCTCTACTGTGTCAGGTCCTAGATGAGTGCAAGTCATGGTCACAGCTGATCTTCATTCATAACCATTCCCTCTCCATCAGAACTGTTTGTCCTAAATATGTTTTTTTAATTCTTCCACTAATTTAAAAACCCTTGGTCATTAGGTTTGCCCAGAGGCACTTGTTCCAGGATTGTTCATCCTGCTTTAGCCATGCCCTTGTCACTTGGCATTCTAAACTGAAACTGCTACTACTGCACAATGCACAATGTACAGGCCAACCTCATCAGACATGGAAGAGATACTCAACCTGTAATCCAAGGAAATAGTTTTCTAACTATGGGAGGGGGTGGATTTTATGCTCCCTCAGTAGCCAGATAGAAGTGGGGTGTAGGTTTTAGCTAAATGATGTTTGATTAAGCAGACTTTTGGTTATAGAGAGACTCCAGTTGCTTGTTACAAGACCACTACTCTTAAGGTTTACACACTGCCACTAGATGCCCCAGTGGAATGTTGTTCTCTAGCTTCTCTGAGATGCTTTAAGTGGCATGATATTACCACAAAAGGTTAGGCTTAGCTTGATTTCTAGACCAATCCTCTTGCAATGCCAACCTGTTATTAAGTCAAAAGGACAGTACTTTTTTCTCAAAACACTCTCTTCCAACCCCCTTACCCTGTTCTTGAATAATGTTTTATCTTTTGGAAAGAACAAGGCTGTAATGTAGCAACTATTGTCTGTGTCTCCCTTGTGTCTGTTCTTGTCACAAATGTACTTGGGGACATTGGATGCATTCATTTTCTGTAATAAAGTTTCTTAATCAGTCTTCCCAAAAAGTAAAAATAAATAAATAAATAAATAAATAAACCTAAGTGAACATTGTAGTCAATAATAAGCAAAAAAAAAAAAAAAAAAAGATTTGATAAGGATGGGAGAAGTAGATGATGATGAGAGGATGAGAGTAAGCAAAAATTTTAAATATTTCTTTATATTATTTGAGAAAGCACCATAACTTAAATTTCTTTGATAAATGACTAAAAAGGGAGTTCTGTTTTTATTTTCCAAATTGCTTTAGGATCATTAATTCTTTGACTAATGAATTTCCAATGAATAAATACTCACATGTGTACTGCTGATTCCCTCTAGCAAAAGTCTGGTAATCTCTGCTTGACGATCAAATTCACTTTGAGTTATCCTTAATTCCTGTTCAGACTTAAATTAGAAGATAATTTTAGAATTTTGTATCCAGACTGTTTAAAAATTCCCCAGACCAACCCCAAATTGTAATCCAGCAATTCCCTGATTTTGCTTTGTATCTGAAAGGGTCCCTTGTTTCTATGCTTTAATTTTCCTATATTACTCAACCTTAATAGAACTGATTGCTTACCAGCACTTGACTCAAAAGAATCTATTAATGCCAAAGCTTAATGACATACTTGTAAAAGCCTAGAAAACTTACTATGGATAGTCAGAGGATATTTTCATATGTTTTCTAATATCAATTTTGCTAAATTTAATTTTTACAAAATCTTAAAAAGAGTGCCATAGTTTGGAAAGTAATGTTACTGTTAAATTCTCAATTAGTACTATTGTTTTTTCTTGGGGGTGGGGGGACTGGGGATTGAACTCAGGGACACTCAACCACTGAGCCACATCCCAAGCCCTATTTTGTATTTTATTTATAGACAGGGTCTCACTGAGTTGCTTAGCATCACACTTTTGCTGAGGTTGGCTTTGAACTTGCCATCTTCCTGTCTCAGCCCCCTGAGCTGCTGGGATTACAGGTGTGTGTCACCGAGCCAGCTGTTTTTTTTTTTTTTTTTTTACTTTGGTGTTAATGATAGTCTTAATATAATGAATGCAAAAGACTTTAGATTGAAGTCACAGGATTTCTCTCTCTTGAATTTGGTTACCAAATACTTGTTGCCAGGAACTGTTCTTACTTTTCTTCAAAGGAATCTTTGTCCTACATTTTAAATGTCTTTTAAATTTTCTTTCTAAACTATGCATAAAATAGTCATTCAGAAATACTGTCTGTCAAGATTAGGGTTTAAAAACTTTCTTTTAAGAAGTTATGGTTGAGGGCTGGGGATGTGGCTCAAGCGGTAGCGCGCTCGCCTGGCATGCCTGCAGCCCGGGTTCGATCCTTGGCACCACATACAAATAAAGATGTTGTGTCCGCCAAAAACTAAAAAATTATTAAAAAAAAAAAAAAAAAGTTATGGTTGATTTTCAGTGTTGTGCTGGTAAACTGGTTCTCTTTTTTGTTGTGGTAGTGGGGACTAAAGCCAGGGGTGTTCTACAACTGAGCCACACCCCCAGCCCTCTTTATTTTAAAATTTTGAGACAGGGTCTTGCTAAGTTGCCAAGGCTGGCTTTGAACTTGTGATCCTCCTGCTTGAGCCTCCCAAATCACTGGGATTACAGCAGTGGGTCACTGCTGCCCAACTGGTAAATTTTTCTCAAGGAAAAAGGAAAAGCTCTAACATTCTGATTTTCATGATATAAATACTCCCATCACAGCTGATTTGAAACTACCAAGGTGAAGTTACTAACTTTAGAGTTGGGGAAGAGATGTATATAATAGCATACCACTAGTATAGTATAGTTAGTGTAACTTCAACCATCCAATGTTTAGTGCTAGAATAAATTATTTCACTGAAAAAATTAGTAAGGTCTAAAAATAGCCAAAAAAAAAAAAAAATCTTCCAAAAACACTGGAGTAGGTTGGTAATACGTTGGGGAGGAGAAAATAAAACCTCGTGCCCATTCAAAACAATTATCATCACTGGTGATAATGCCATTATGATTTTATTTTACATCTGTAGTACAAAAATCTTTCCTGCCATGCAAATAATTTACAACATTTTCAAGATGTAGTAAGTATAAAACAAAGTCTGCACTTTTTCCTTTCAATTTCCATCTCAATAACCCTGTGGATAGGAAATTAACTTAGTAAGCCAGTCAACAAAGTAGCAGAAAAGTAATCAGTTGCTATAATATCCCACTGGCAAAGGAGACTAAGAACTGGCTAGATTTACTTTTATGAAAATAAGCTTGAATTCCTCAAGAAGTGAAAAACTGAAATGAAATTTGAATAAAACCAGAAAACCTTAGCAGGTTTTCTGGTTTTATTCAACTTTATCTGTAAGCTATTATGAAGCAGAAAAAAAGTCCCAGAAGAAGAAGAAAACAATGTTCTTCCCAAGGAAAGCATTAGGAAAACCAATCACTTCAGTGTTACAGTTGCACTGTTTACTATTCTGCTTATTTGAATATAAAATGGCTTTAACAGAAAACAACCATAGCAAACCAAAGTAAATGAACTTCAGAAGTAAATGAAGTTGGTTGCATTTCGGTCTTTGTGAAAGTATAACTTGACTTTATAGCCTAATTTTATAAGTAAAAATGGCATAAGAGTCTACTAACTGGCAATATTTCTGTACAGGTACAAAAAAGTAAGCTAGGTAGCTGATTAAAATAAGTAGGAAGTTTTGAGACTGAAGCAGAAATAATGTTTTAATTCTAAGAATATTAAATAAAAATTAAATTATCTCATGAAAGGGATCAATTTTCTAGGTTTGAACAAACTGTAACTGTGAAGAAAAGCACCATCTTACAAAACTTAGAAAGTCACTATTCTGTACAATCTAGACATTCTATTTAGAAAAGATAAACAGCAGGAAAGGAATGAATCTCACTTCTTGGACAAGTTTCAGTGTGTACATACGGAGTGGCTGTAAACAGTCAAATGTCGCAAACCATCTATGGTTCTGACATATGTAACTTGAGCATAATTTATCAGCAAGGCTAAGGAATTTTCAATTAGGTTCATTTACAATCAGTTTACTTAGGAAGAAAATGGTCTATAAGAAGATGATGAGAAAGGTCTAAAGGCAATGAATTTAAACACCTAATATTCTGACCTCTAGAACAATTTTGCTCCCTGACCTAATTTTACAATTAAGTTGTATAATCCTCAGGAAAAAACCTCTACTAAGAATTATAGATACTAGGTAAAGAAGAATTATTTCAAGATGTAACTCAGAAGATGGGCAAGAATCTACTGGTCTGTGAAAATCAGCAATGGATATCTATAAGACAGAAATTTTGGTCATACTTTTGAGACATCTGTGGATGGTTGTTATCTACATTTTCTATGGAGCTTAAATCTTAAAAATATTCCAGGACTATGAAAATTTAAAATTTATATTTTTAAATTATAAAAATGACAAAAAGTGAGTATAGAAGAAAAAAACTCTTCAAATTCATTTTGACATATTTCCTTAGTATTTTTATAAATATTTGTTTCATAAATTTCTTCCCATTCATTATACCAGCTATTTCTCAAATTTGTAGAGGATTGCAAAATCAAGTCAGAAACATTTTGATGTACTTGTATGCCAACCAAAAGGGCAACACCTGGTTTTCTTGTTCAACCCATATTCTCCCCCATGTGGCTCTGTTCCCTTTTTATGCTAGAGGTTTAGGAAGAGATCAGAAGCCAGGGTAGAACCATACTAAGTTGATAAAAAGATTCCATAAAGGAGGATGACAGTATAAATCAAGAATTTTACACTGGATTTCCAGGTCATAAAATCAATAGCTCAGTAATCTACGCATGAAACATACTATATAATTGGCAATCCTACAAAGTCTGAAAATATTAAGATTTATGAAGCTATTTAAAAGTCAGGGGACATAATTACTACCTGCCCTCAAATCCCCAGCATCATCCTCACATACAAGTAAGATTTTAGTAGGCCTGAGCATGAAAAATAAATGAAAAATGCTTCTAAAAACCTAAAATAGAATTTGAAATAAGTCTGCATCAAAGTCATATTTTTTCCTTTTTAAACTCTTACTTTATTACTTGATTTCCCAGACCAAAGATTAGAAATGTTAACAAAGGCAGAGGAACTGTTAGAAGTCAAATAGATTCTACAAGAAGCAATCTAAGACTGATGCTGAGGGTAAGACAAAAGCACCGATTAATTATTAAATCACAGAATGATGAATATTCATAATAATGACCTTAACTGCAAATATTTGCTATTCTGTGTTCAATGAAGTAATAAAGTACATTTTTAATAGATATTTTTAATGAAAGTGACAGAAAAACTAGCTTTGGTGCTGAAGAGAACAAATGTCAGTCACCTAAAAGTTATTTGTATAAGACATGATACATTCGCTTCTCTGAAGATAAAGGACATTGTGTTAATTATACTTCATATTTTAAAATGTGTCATTAGAAAAAATTATCAATGAATAAATCAAGTATCTAGTATTCTAGCAAGGCACCATAAGATAATTATTAACAGGTATTTAGAATTTATCATGGTGTGTGCAAATCACATCTCTGCAGCATTGTTCTACTGCTCTGTAGAGCTGCTATTAGCCAAACAGACCAGAACATTTCTATTTCAGATCTAAAAAGGCACAGTAATATAGGGTTGGGGTTATGGCTCAGTGGTAGAGTGCTTGCCTGGCATGTGTGAGACACTGGGTTCAATTCTCAGCACCTCATATAAATAAAAAAATAAAGGTCCACCACCAACTAAAAAAAAAAAAAAATTAAAAAAATAAAGGTACAGTAACACAGACTGACTGGACCTATGGGTGTCACCTAATGTTTAGTGAATTAATGGCAATTAAGTTATTATTATTTTTTTATTTTAGTGGTACTGGGGATTGAACCCAGGGCTTTTTGTGTACTAGGTAAGCATTCTATCACTATGCTACATCCCCAGCCCAAGGCAAATAAATTCTTCTTTCATAATTCTGTAGTTAGTAATAATTTACTTACTTTTGTCACTTCCTCTGCCCAAATCTAGCCAGCATTAAAAATTAAGAGAAAAATATACAGCATGAAAGAAAGTTGGAATTTAACATTTTCTACAACTACTTAGTATAGAAAAATGTAAGTATTTTAATCTAAATGGCATACTCTCCTTTTTCTAAAATGTCATTATTATCAAATTAAACACAGTACTAATTAAATAAGTACAGCTTAACATATTGTGAAAATATGCCTTTTATAGGAATCAATACTACTGATTTTTAAATCTTATGCTAATTCTATAAATTTATAAGAATAAAAACTTCGTCAAATTGTGAACATCTGACTTGCCTTAGTTTTAGTTTTCTCATCTACAAAATGCGATGTTTGGACTAAATAATTTCTATTTTTTTTTTCAAAATAAATTATAAAATTTTTGGAATTAAAAACAAAGCAAGAATAAAGGGTCATTGAATGCCAACAAAATAACTTTTTGGGGGGAGGGGAGACAACAAACTTGAAATATAAAAAATTTAAAATTACCAGAGTTAAATATATCTCACCATAAGTAGATGATATAGTAAAACAAATGATTAATAAATGAAACAAACAGTTGCTAATTGTTTAGGAAGACATTTTTACTTAAGACAAAAGAAAACCTATAATTTATATACTAAACTTAACAATGACTAAAACATTTTCACACTTTTCATTTAGCTATGGATAGGACAATGGAAATGCATTCTCTTGCTATCTAAGTAAAGCCGTAATTTAGCAAGGGCTTAAATAATTACAGTTAAGAAAAACAAACATTTTTTCCTTGCTTCTAGTTCAATGCTAATGAAATAAAAAAATCAATTAGTTGCCAATTTATTAACTATACTGCAGATTTCTAACCACTTCTAATGGAAGTAATGCACCTAGGAATATAATGCCAAGCCCTACAAAGTTTAATTGGCCTAATATGTGTAAGTTATTTGCCTATGCTCATTTCATAACTACTTATTTCATTAAAGCTAAAAACCCAATATCTCAAAAATTTCCTCAAATTGAGCTCAATATATACATTGGAAATTTACATCTTCATCTCTATTTTTGCCCCAAAGTTATCACCATTTTGAAACTTTCTTAAGCGAGATAGCACTGGATGTGAAATGGGCCTGGCCTATAGGAATACCTGACTTAATGGAGTTTGGCTAATCCTGGCATGGTGGAGGAAAATAGTACATTAAGTTTGGGTAACAAAAAGGTAAATACTGATGCTACTGAGAAGCAAAGTCAATTTGTATACCTTTGTTTTTCTCTAAGGTAAATTTTGTTATTTTTCTTTGCCAAAAGTGAAAATATGAAATGCTAGCTTAAACTAGCATATTTTACTGGCTGTCAAAAAGAACTAGATACCTATGATTCTAAAATCTGTATTTGATATAATCCATATATTGGCAGTAAGAACATATAGTGTATTTTCTTTAAGATCCATTATCACTTCAGCTAGTACACCTTTCTACACATACTATGAACGAATGGCTTTAATTATTTTAGATTTTTACATGTAGCTAATAGCAAGAGAAGGCACTTTATTCAAGATGTAGAAAACACAGTAGGCCAACAAACCTTCAGCCATTTTACATGCAGGAAGTTGAGCATGTAAGAGAAATTTACCATAATATTATCTCCTTCAAGGCGAGCTGAGTTTAGTTGCTTAAGTGCATAGGTAAGAGACAAAGAACACATACCAATGAACAAGGTGAAACAAATTACTTCTGTACAATAAAGCACACACTAAACAAGTATTAAGAATTGATAAAAATTGTTTTTTCTACTGAAGAAAAATCCAACTATACTTATTCTATGAAATTTCATGTAGTGGTATTTAATTTTTCTAAAAGATTCAAATTTCCGAGAAATAAAAATGGTTGATGCTTAATTTTAAATTAGAATCATTTCAGAAAAAGCATTTTAAAAACTCTCAAATTTTTAATTAAATTTTGATCTACGAAAGCTTTCTGCCTATCTTACAATTTTCCTATTCAAAGGTCATTTGTATTTTATTAATTTATGATGCCTTCAACCATTTTTTTTTTAATTAGTCTCAATCAAGTCTTGGCAAACCCTGGAGGCAAATGAAAGGAATGTCAATCCTTGTATTTCTAATAAGCTTTAAATTCAAACATGTGTACATATAAAGGTAAGGTTATATGATGGTGCTACCAACTGATATTAAAGATAAAAGATTTAGACTGCTGTGAAAATTCTTAAAGTGTAAAGGGAGTATGTGTAATATGAAGTATTTGAAGAAATATTTTCCATTAAATTTGTATGACCCCAAATAATAGAGATCTAAACCTCTACATACTAGAAAATTTTGAAAACAGCTGTTTTTTTTCTTCCCATTAATGAAACTCTGAAATAATTTTTTAAAAAGTTTATATTAGACTAAGATTATCTTAATAAATGTATTTATTATACATTGTCCTTGTTTCCTCAAGACATAAATTCTATTATATCTGCAAACAATTTCTATTCATTTTGAAACATTAAAGTAGGTTTTCTCCTTTTTGCTCAATTGGTATATTTTAAGAAATGTGTTTGATGTTGTTTACCATTCTTCAATAAGCTAACTTAGTCAAACAGAAGTTAGTGAAGGAGCAATATTGGTTATAGGCAGATTTTTCCCTTTTAGGGCTAAATCACCAAAAATTTTACTATGCTAGATTATGAACTGAAGGTAGTAGAGATTTTATTATTTATCTATAAACTTCTCCTCTTAAGTATAGTACCTTGTGCAAAATTAGCGCTCAATAAATACAGAATTTAAAAAAGAGGTCACAGGAAACTAGTAAATTTTTTTAAAACCTCACATGTACAGGTATAAACTAGTCACAAAATAATCTATGTAAATTTATAAAGCAGTGAACTGGAAGTCTGAGGTTAAACTAACTTCTTCACTTACCAACTAGAAATCAAGAATGTGTCAGAGGAAAAAAAAAAAAAAAAGCAAAAATCCCCTAGTGGTTTCTATTCTGTATTCTACAAGTCATTCAAAAGAAATATGGGGGTGGGGTGTGGAGTTGGAAGGATCACCAAATATAGGCATACCTTAAGAATTTATGTAGTAAATTAAAAGAACTATTCCTGTACCAAATATTTAGACTTATTGCTGAAAATAAATTGATTATCTCATGGAAAGAATAAAAACCAGGAAATGTGAACTTTTGCCTAGACTAATGTTTTTAATATTTGGCAACAGATAAATTTTATGTAATATAGAAATTCTAGAAAATTAGTATATAAATGAGATTGCTGGATTATGCCATTTAAATCATTTCAATTTTAAACAAACTTCCATGGGAAAAATTTGGTCCTTAAAAATACATAGCACAGGGGCTAGGGTTATGGCTCAGTGCAGAGTGCTTGCCCTGCACATGTGAGGCACTGGGTTCAATCCTCAGCACCACATAAAAATAAACAAAGATATTGTGCCCATGAATAACTAAAAAATATTTAAAAAAAAACATGGCACAGAAAAACTGCGAATGTATTTCCTAGATGTATCAAAGTAAATGCCCAAAATGTGTTTACTATTATATTTAGTTCTTACACATTTTAATAGAGTGGCAAAATAGTTGAGAATAAAAAGGACTTTTGATACTGTTAAATCTATTTACGTCCTGACACTTTTCTAAGTAAGAAGCAAACTATCAATATTCTATAAATTTGATAATGCTATTATTCCACAATCATCACTGGGTATATGCAGGCATTTTAAACAAAAAAGATTCTGTTCTAGTTCAAACATTCATTTAAGTGACCTTTGTTTATATCTCAATATTTTTTTGATTATAAAATTAGTATCTTAAAAACCAATTTTAATTTTACTATATAATATAAACTTATTATTAGCAACTACAAACTAATAATTTAGGGTCTCTTGCCATCTATAGTATTCATTTTGAAAGTTTTAATTCTGCAGATAGTCTGTTAGGGAAGTGATGTTGTTTATGCTGATAATGTCATGATAAGCTCTGAAGTGAAAATGAAAGTGAATGCAAAATCCAATATAAAACCCAAAAGAAGGCTCCTGTAAGAAAAACTTAACGCTGCTCATAAAAGGTACTGGGGTAGCATCACAAGATATCACTAACACCATATCTGTTTTAAATTTCACTCTTAATTCTCAACCTATTGTCCTTAAAAGAAGAGAATTACGTGATTACTACCAGCACTGAAGTAATATGCTTATTTAGGCAATGAGACTCACTGGTGGTAGTGGTAGTGAGTTGGACGTATCATACCTCTTAACATTCCTTTGCTTAAATTAAGAATGTTAGCTTTCCCATATCTTAAATGTGTGCCAATTTAAATTTGAGTAATTCTTTTAAACTTTGGAATGGAATTACAGTAGACATTATAACTATTAGATTAACTCAAAAACCTATAAATGAATCCTTTTAAGAAAGTTATGTATAAAATCATCAAATTTTTGTATTTAATGTTAGTAAATTATAATATTTTAAAGCTACTCAGTTAAAAAAAAGTATGCTGAAAGTTGATTTTCTGAAAAATATTCCAAAACTTTTATTTATCTAAGTGGGTTTTTCTCATCTTCAAAATAGCCACCTGGGAGCCCATTATGCCTTTGGAACTACTCTTGGTGAGAGTTTCCTTTAGTCAGTGTAGTCACATGTAGGAAGGGAATCCATTTGATTTTAAGCTACATTAAGTATTCCCAGATTTGATTCATTCTGATCTTAATTACCATCTTTTTTTGCTGTTTCCTAACTTAATAAACCTACCTAAATCTATAAATCTAAATAAATACAAATTTGTCATCACCACTAAGGAAATTTACAGAACATGACACAGCTTTAGGAGGTATCATAATTTTTATTTTTTAGCAACAGCTGTATCACTGATTAACATCTCTTGAAATGACTACTTTGGACTGACCTGAATTATCAATTCTGATAAATTTGTTTAAAAACACAAAAACATGACCAGAAAGTTATATTCTTTTCTTAAGGACAATCTGTATCTTGCCTGGTATATTTGTAAAATATTTTACAAAATTTTAAAAATGTTAAACTTTTTTTTAAAATTAAAATGAAAAAAATTACTTACTGAACTTCTGGTTTCTGCAGCTTTCGCCTTTTTTAGTCTGGTTTTTGCAGCATCCAAATCCAGTCTCTTATTTTGTAATAGTTTCCTTTCTTTCTATAAATACAGAAAAGAAAAAATACTCAAGATGTTAAAATCCAGTAAAAGCATACATGAAATATTCCTTTCCATTTAATACATGTATCACCTGATAAAGATCTATGATTATAAATTGGCTTATAAAGCACCCATGTAGTAAGGCTTTGCCTAGCATGTGGGAGACACTGAGTTCAATCCCCAGCAACACACACAAACACACACACACACAGACCAGGTATCTGACTTTAAAAAATAATTTTTCGCCAGGCACGTTGGCACACACATCTGTAATCCTATCAAAGAAGGAGAACTGAGTTCAAAAGCAAGTTGCTAAGTAACTCACTGAAACCCTGTCTCTAAATAAAACAAAATAGGGCTGGGGATGTGGCTCAGTAGTTGAGTGTCCCTGAGTTCAATCCCCAGTACCCTCCAAAAAAATAAATTAAAAAAAAAAATGATTTTCAGTTTTAAAATAACCAAAACATTTTAGAATCTGGGGAATCCAGGAAAGATGGCATAGAATATAGAAACAAAGAAATATTAGTCTTAATATTTTATGAGTTTGTCCTCCTCCCATCCACAGGAAATATTTGGTAATATAATTTTGGTTTCCACAATTGGGGACTATTATTGATATCTACTGAGTAGAAGGCAGGGATGCTAATTAATATCCTATAATATAGTACAGCTCCCACTTCAGAATTACTCTGTCCAAAATGTTAATGGTAGCTAGGTTGTTAAACTCTACTTCAAACAGTTACAGATTATCCAGGAAGTCCTGTGGTAAAGGAAACAAATAGGGCAAGATTCCTTGATGTCCTATGTGATCTATCTACCTTAGGGATTGGGCAGGCTATTTTTCTGTTTTTTTTTGATACTGGGTATTGAACCCAGGATCATAGGTATGCTAGGCAAAAAATGCTCTACCTATAGACTACATTCCCAGCCTAAGCATGCTGTTGTTCATATCACAGCACTGAATGCAACTCTACTCCAAAATGGAATTTCAAATTTATACAATGAATAAACTTACTTAGTATCTCAGAATTCCTCACATTAATTTTAAGCTTTTGTATAATAGGATAAGTTTATTATAATTCTATTTTATTAATTCTTGGATTCTATACATAAAATTTTATCCTACTGAGAAGTTAGTATCTTTTAAATCATATTTCAAGTTGGTTCTTCTGCCTTAGGCCAAATACTTATTTACACATACAAATCCACTGTATAAACATATTGAAAATTTTATAAGGTTTTGTAAGAAAAAACTTGCAAATGAAAGTTCATAATTGTGGGCTGGGATTGTGGCTCAGTGGTCGAGTGCTCGCCTCGCATGTGTGAAGCTCTGGGTTCGATCCTCAGCACCACATTAAAATAAATAAAGGTATTGTGCCCAACTACAACTAAAAAAATAAATATTAAAAAAAGAAGCTTTAAACATTTAAAAAAATGTTAGTAATTATGTTTACAATAAAGATCAGTCTTACAAAATCTCAGGAAAAAAAAATCCACCAAGATCTTCACTCTCCATCCTTAACAAGTTAAACTAAAGATAGAGACTAACAGATTAGGTTTGGAAAACAAGTTTTTTGTTTTATACTTCAGCAAGTAAACTCAGTAATGTGAAAAGATAATATATTTTTAAGAATGCATAAAGAATAGTACCCAGAAACATATCTTCCAATAATTAGGTTTCTAGTTCCAGTTTAAATAGTTACATAACTATATTATAGCTACATATTAGACCATATTTCCATAATTATTCCAGGAACTCTGCTATATTTTGGTGTTGGTAATCAATGAGAATGAATGTAAATGTATCAATAATAATGTAGGACACACACAAAAAATGAAGCCAAAGTTACTAATATTCTTTTATTTTGGTTTAGTTGTGTGTGTCCTGGTGAATATTTAAGTTTTCTAATCTGCTTACATTTATGACCACTAAGAGGAAAAATTACTCATTAAAAACTTTAAGGCCAGGGGTGGTGGCACATGTCTATAATCCCAGTGGCTGAGGTAGGTGGATCATGAGTTCAAAGCCAGCCTCAGCAAAAGTGAGATGCTAAGCAACTCTGTGAGACCCTGTCTCTAAATAAAATACAAAACAGGGCTTAGTGGTGGAGTGCCCCTGAGTTCAAACCCTGGTACCTCAATAAACAAACAAACAAACAAAAACTTTAAGCATAAATCTGATTATATTTTACTAAAAAAAAGAGAACATTTTCCAACTCACAGCAATTGTTTTGTAATCTCCTTCTATAAAGTTTCTTAAAGGAGTGAGAAAATTTAAGGCTGATGTTTGAATTAGTTCTCTGTCAGCTGTTCCAATTCGTTTTTGTGTTTCTCCACATTTAATAAGAGCATTACCTGCAAAGAAAAGATTTTTTTTTAACCAGTGTCTAGCAGTGTCATAAAATTAAGAATCACATAAAAATAAATCATGAATTTGATTTGCTTAAAAGTTAGTTGTCACTTATTTACTTCAGTAAAATCAAACAGAATTAAATGTAATTAACTGATTATTTTAAAGTAAATTTAGGGGCCGGGGATGTGGCTCAAGCGGTAGCGCGCTCGCCTGGCATGCGTGCAGCCCGGGTTTGATCCTCAGCACCACATACAAACAAAGATGTTGTGTCCGCTGAAAACTAAAAAATAATATTAAAATTCTCTCTCTCTCTCTCTTTTTTAAAAAAAAAATAAAGTAAATTTAGGATGAATATCTAAATAAAATAGACCAAAGATTATGCACTATCATATCATGGTTAACTATACAAATTCTACCAATGGTACTAAAGAGGACATATATGCCCCAAAATATTTATGTTCCCAATTCAGATAGAAAAGCTTAGAAAAATATAAAGCTTGTAATATTTTAACAAGTATATCAGTCACAATTTGTTTTATTTCTATATCCATGCACTTACATAACTAAGAACAGTTTACATCTTAAGAAAACCCCGTGATGTTTAAATAGGGCAAGTACAATAGCAAAGCAGAGGCAGAAAGAGCAGAAAAAAAGGGAACCCTAAGATTAGGGTTCTACTCCAAGTTTTAGCTCTAATAAGCTTTAGTTTTATATATTTTAATTCCTTCATGTTACAATAAGATTAGATCTGATTGGTAAGGAAGGTAATATAGCATAATAGTTAAGAGCTCTGTCTCTGATAGATCTGTATTTGAATTACTAGCTGTGTGAACATGGATAAATTATTCAACCTCCTCAAGCCTCAGTTCGTCTTTAAAATAGAGATAAAAGAATTTATATTATAAGCAGAATGTAAGTAAGGATTTACTGAAATAATACACAAACATATATACTGTATCATGCTTAACCTAATGACTGGAATACTTAATTTTTAGCTATTATCATTTACTAATAATAGGTTCTCAAAGCCTTCCAACAATCAGGTCACATTCACTGGAATTACTAAGAGGTGCAAAGAGATTAAACATTAAAAAAAAAAAAAAAAAAAAGTGAAAGCCTTTATAATTTTCATGCTCTACTAGGCCTTCAGCTCCATGAAAGGAATGAGCTGGGTCCCCTTCATATACCTACCTATATGATCCTAGAATAAACAGGTAATAATAAAACATGTTTAACATGCAAAGGTTTTCTAAAAATTAAGTTATTTATAATTAATTTCAAGTTTTTAAGAATTTTCAGACTTCCAAAAATTAGATTTAAAAAATTATAATGTAGATATTTCAATGTTGTACATCTAAAAAGCCATTCAATGTATTAATGGCATTATACAGTATTCAGGTTATTTCTTTCTGACAAAAAGATAACTACTAAAACCTGAAACCCACATAATCCCAGAATTTAGGAGCTTTTTATAAATCAGAACTACTTGTGGAAATTCATTTAATCTACCTATCATTTCACATTCAAATAAGGACCATTTTCTTGCAGTACTCTTAAGAGAATTATTAGCCATAAACAATAGGGAAAAGAAGTAACAGAAATCTGAATAGTCTCACGTTATGAGAATATTAGATCTGAATAAAAATAAAGATGTGTAATTTTGAGCTGTAACTCAAAGATGTGTAACTTTTTTTGAGCTTCACAGTTGTACATCTAAAAAGTACAGCAACTAATAAACCTGGGTTAACTATAAAACACCACTATAGAAAACATGAAATATATGAAGAAAAAAATGAAATGTTATCCAAACATCTAGAGATAACCACTTTTAACCTTTGTTTTTGCTTACTGATATCACTGCAAAATTTTTACAAAAGTACTAGTGACTTCTTCAAACATTTATTGTGTGTATAGTATCTTTAATAGGAAATAAAACGATCTCAAAAAAGCTTAAAAAAATCATGCATAACCATCATATAACAGAAGTATTATGATACAGGTATTATAAGGTCAATGGGAATACAAGGGAAGAATTCTTTAGATTTTTAGAACTAAAAAAAGATATGAATTCTCTGAATAACTAAATGTATGCTTAAAATTTTTTTAAATTAGAGTATTATACATAGTAATTGTGTTCATCTTGACAAAATTATACATGCATGGAATGCAGTTTCAGTTCATGACCCCTCCCCGACCCCTTCTCTTTCCTCTACTGATTTACATTTCACCCCTCCATCCATTCACTTATCTATTGTGGTACTGGGGATCTAACTCAGGGGTGCATTATCACTGAGCCTTACACCCAGCCCTTTTTAAAAATTTTAAATTTTGAGATAGGATCTCACTAAGTTGCTGAAGCTGGCCTTGAACTTGCAATCCTCCTGTCTCAGGTTCCTGAGTTGCTGGCATTACAGGCATGCACCACCATGCCCAACTCATCTATTTATTTTTGATTGGTTCTTTCTACATATACATAAAGGTGAAATTCCCTGTGGTATACTGATATATGCACATAACATATGATTTTTAAAAAATTCATTCTGCATTTCCTCGCTTTTCCCCTTCCTCCTCACTCCCCCCCAATTTCCTTTTACACTACTGATCATCCCTATATCTTTATGATATCCTGTCCTTCCCTCCTCCTTCCCTTTATTTCACTCTAGCTTACACATATAAGAGAAAAATAATCAATCAACCTTTGAGTTTCTAAGTCTGGCTTATTTTACTTAGCATGATGTTCTCCATTTCCATCCATTTATCAGCAAATGCCATAATTCTATTCTTCTTTATGGCTGAGTAAATATATGCTTAAATATTAAACTATACATATTTATTGGTTACTTATAGGTCTTCAAAATATTTACATAACAAATATGAAACTAAAACTGACTCTACTATATGTTAATGACATCTCTGAGTAGCCAAAATCTAAATGTAAAGACATTTCTTATCAGAACTTTTTGCTTTTTTCTTACCATAAGCTGTTCCTGGGCCAAACTCAGTTCCTGCATCAATCATATATTGTCCCAAAAGTTCTGGGTTGTTTATACGACTTGGTGCTTTTCTATCCAGTTTCTCATAAACAAATTCTTCTATCCTTGCATCTAGGGGAAAGGTTAACATCAGTGACTTCAAAAGAGCAAAACTATTTAAAATATTGTTTTGTTCCCCTCCCAATCATTTACTGCCTCTTAAATATGAAGTTAGCATTCATTCAAGTACGTATCTTCATGTATAACTTTTTATTTACATGTTAAGAGAATTATATAGCTCTAAGAAATTTGTATTTTAGAAATCTGATGAAATATCTCAGCACAAAAACATTTTACAATAAAGTTGAAACCATTATTTGCGTAGTCTATGGGCTTTGTTTCAGAAGAAAATTGGTAGTATTTAATATCTAGTAATGTTGCCTTTGTCCTATTTTAGTACTTTAAACACTCCATTTATGTTCACAATCAGGAAATTTTGGCTAGGAAAATATGGATGGACATGAGGAATCTAAAAGAACTTAAGAGTCACATCTGACACATTTAGCGTGAACACATACTCATTCTTGACAGAGTCTAAATATAGACATAGGAGCTTATGGAATAGAAAATCTAGGTTTGTAGAATATAGATAAATCAGCAATATGAAACCATGGCTTTAGTGTAGTTATGCTTGAAGTTTATAGGTATATGGGTGATACACAGGGGGCATGCATTCACTTTCAAGATTTCACCATTAAAAATAAGTTTAAATTACAAAAGGTCAAAGTAATACAGAACATTAGTATAAATGGAAAGGGGGAAAAACAATAAAAGCTGAATAAATACTTCTATAGGGGAATGTATAAAACCAAAAAAATCTCCTTGCTGCCCAACAGCAAGGTATTTCAGGGCTAAATGTAAACATGGTAGAAGTTTCCAGAAACAATAATTAAGTATAAATTAGAATTACAATCTGAAGCTAAAGTCAAATAGGTTCCTTGTTAAGTATCCCCCAGAGATTCCTATATAATTGGAAGTTTCACACAGGGCACTGAAAAATTCCAAAAATGAGCTGAACCAGCAAGCATGTCAGAAGTTGGCAAAAGAGTTAAAATAAAATATACATATTAAAGGATGTTAGAATTAATACTTGCTTTTCTGGCAGATTCTGGTGCAAATTCAGAAGAGTTTTTAAGCAGAATTTTAAAATCTAGTTTAAACTGAGTCATTGCAAAATAATCATTTAAAACATGCTAACTTCATTCCAGAATTTCATTTTCTAACCGATTCTTAGTTTTGACTGTTTTTTACCTATCTAGTCAAAAGTTTAAAGGCAAATCCTGTATTATTTAATTTGGTTAATAAAACATCTATATATGATAATAATATAGCAAAAATAACTGCTTCATTATAGTGGCCCATTCAATAGGTCATAAAATATTAAAATATGTAGTTAATTCTGCTATAATGTAAATATTTTTGCATACTACTTTAAAAAAGTATTATGATTTATAATTTAAATAACCTTAAATGAATAAGAAATGTCACATGGTGTCCAAAGAAAATAGGCTTCACTCAAGGTGTAAAAGGCTTATTTTAAAAGGTCACTACAATTTAACTAAAATGGCACACAGGATTACTAATATTTCTACTCTTGAAGCTTAAATTAGTTTCTAAAAATAAGTTTATGGCATTTCATAACATGGTCATAACAGTACTTGGGAAAAGAGAAGGAAAGCATTCATTTGTTGCCTTTGTGCTTTATTTCTGATATATAAAGCTTACATTGAAAAGACTAGATGTCAGTAAACCTGGTTCTAGTCTATGTTCCACATCCAATTAGCTATGTTACCCTGGACAGAGGCTAACTCTGTGAGTTTCATGCAACACTCAAGTATTGGCAAGGTTGACATGAGTGATCTCACAGTTGTCTGATATAATATTTCAAACACATAATTATCACTACCATATTAACATATATTTAAAGTATTCCCTGCATCCTAATCTTGCACCAAAGATAGTTTAGTACTAAATAATTTTAAAATAATATTGGCATAATTTTTTAAAAAGTTTCACATAGTGGCTACACCCCATTTTTGAAAAAACAATTTGGGATAAAATCTGTGGCGATTATGAAGTGAAATATGGTAATTAAATAGGATAATTTATTTGAAAATATAAAATAAAGATAAAAAACTGGTAATTATTTAAGCTTCTATATAACTTTCCCTTAATTGTTTAGGATAACGCCTAACTGGACAGAAAAGGAAAATGTATTTGTCAGTTCAGCCTCTCACAGCTCTTCAAATTCAAAGCCAGTGTCTGAAGTTGAGTTTTCAACAGTACTCAACAAAGGCTTAAAAAAATGTTTTTTGTAAATTTGTTAAGAGGGTACACCAAAAATGTTTATCATTTCTTCTTTACCCAAAGTACAGACAAAAATAACCAGAGACACTTTAGCCATAATCAAAAAATCTGTTTTCAATATTAAAAAACCACTAATAGCACTTTAGGTAAATAAGATAAAAATTTCTTATATTTGTCCCCCCCCCCCCACTTTAAAAAACTGATACATTATAGTTGTATATAATGATGGAATTTGTTATTACATATTCATATATGCATACAATACAACATAATTTGGTCAATATCACTCCCCGGCTACTACCCCCCCCCCCAATTTTCCCCGCCTCTTACTTGGATTTGGCTGCAATAACACTTCAGTTTGTTTCATTATTTTTTCTGTCCATATTTTGGTACATTCAGCTTTGCTAAGGAGATTCTCTAAGTGAGCATCCAATTCTGTCTTCTCTGCCTGGCCAAGCTTTTCTTCTGTGAACTGTGATTACATAAAAAAAATGAAATAAATATACTTCAAATAAGTGTTAGAAAACTATTATCAATGTAAAAAGCAAACTCAAATCCAAACAACCCTACAAAATACAAATAAATGTATTCCAGGTTTGTTTGTATGCCATTGCTTATGAAATGCTTTTTTTGCCCCACAGTAATTTTCCATACCCTTTATTGTAACATTCATAATGACTTTATCTCATAGCTATAATGGGTAGCTCTGTTAGAATATATGGTGTGAATTCTGTAGAAAATCTAGCATACTGCTTGGTATATAAATATTTCTTACCTATAAAGGTGGGACAGCATAATGAAAGGACTAAGAGCTTTGAGTCAGGTCGATGTGAATTCAGATCCTGACTGCTACCAACTGTGTGACCTGAGCAACATTTTGAATATTTTTCATTAGTATCCTCTATGGTAAAGGAGAGATAATACACAGTGTTTTGAGGACTGAGTAACACTATGTAGTTCACTCTGTTCAGTGCCTTGTAATTATTATTTTAAGTTTAAATTTAAAAAGGGCTTTTTATATACTATTAGCACTTTAATCACACCCAAGTTAGATAGGTTTTTAAGGAATATTTTGGAAAAATATCATTTGTTTCTTCACGATGTCATACCTATAATTTATAGACTATTTTTTGGTATATATCCTATTCAGTCTTACTGTGGAGGTAATTTTTTTAAAACATCATAAAATGTAGTTAAACATACTGAACTTAGCAATTTTTATTATTGTGTTGATGTTTGAGGAAAGGTAGCATTGCCTACACAATAATAAAAATGAAAAAGATTTCTGTGTAAATCTTATGGTGAATACTTTTAATTAAAAGTAGAGGTGATGACTCAGGCTATTTATCATATATAATTTACCTAGAATATATGTTTTTTACTCATCTCAACACAGGCACATTACCAGCACTAATTCTATACTCAGTCATGACTCATTTCTAGCTAACAAAACAGTATCACTTTGCCTTCCTTCCAGTCCTGGAGAATAGATTCAGGGGTGCTCTACTGATCTGCATCCTTAATACTTTTTATTTTGAGACAGGGTCTTCTTGCTCAATTGTTAAGTTGGTCTTGACTTGTGATCCTCCTGCCTCAGCTTCCCAAATTGCTGGGGTTACAGAAAAGTGCCACGGTGCCCAGCTCCTGTCATTTCTTAAAAATTCTTCTGTTGTCCTATTTTCTTAGTTTTATTATCTGCTTCTTTCAGCATCCTTCTTCTCAGTCTAGTTCTTTCAACTGACTTATCAGCATGTTTAGCTGAAGGGTCCTCTAGAATCATATTCTTAGACTTCTGTTTATAATCTCCACTGAAGGTCCTGTTCAGGACTAGAAATAACAGTGGTTTATTTTTGGTTGTTTGTTCTGTGGTGCTGGGAATTGAACTTAGGGGCTTGCACATGCTAGGCAAGCATTCTACCACTGAGCTATACCTGCAGCCCATTTTTATTTTTTATTTTAAGACATGGTCTTGCTGAATTGCCAGGCTGGCTTCAAGCTTGTGATCATCCTGCTTCAGCCTCCTGAGTAGCTAAGATTATAGGTGTGAGGCACCATGCCCAGCTGAAATAACAGCTTTAAAGCTTTTGTAAAGCTTTAGGTCTTTTAGAGAATGGCCTGGTCAGTCTTTTAGAGACTGACTCAATGGGTGGAACTGAGAGTAGCAGTTCTAAAGCAATTGCCTAAGCCCAAAAACTTGCAGTGTACTGTATGTCAGAACTGGGCACTGGACAAAAGCAAATTCTGATCCCAAGGTCAGCTGGATACACTATGCAACCTCATTCCTAGGAAGAGAAATTGGTACTCTTTACAGATCTCTGAAGATTCTAAGCAATAGACATCTTACAGAGGTATGGATTATAACATATTAAAAGAATACCACCAATAGTTAGATATAGTATCTCCCGGAAAGCAACCAACAACAAGAGGAGAAGGATACACCTAGCTCTAAGAAAAACTTTCACCCAGCACTTTAAAAACTGGAAATACCTGCATAAATTTCTCCTTAAGCAAGAATATCCACTTGTTTCTTCACTCATTTATTCAACAAAAATCTATCAAGAAAGAACCTATGTATGTGCTAGGTAATATTCTAAGCACATGAGTTTCAGCAGCCAACAAGGCAGATAAGATTTCTATTTAGGAACCTACCATTTTAGTGGAAAGACAAAAATGAAAAAAACAAATAATTTGATAACAGGGACACAAAGATATAAGATGCTAAAGAAAGGACCAAAATAGCTGATTCTCTCATTTCTAAGTGATATAATAAATGTAAATGTAGAGAAAGAATGAATTCTTCAGGGAAAGGGTGAAGAAGGAGTATCAGGGAAGGCTTCACTCAGGAAGAGATGTATGACCTGGGCCTGGAAGAAGAAGGAAGAGTATAAAGGATTTGAGATTGGGGTGGTTAGAAAGAAATCCCATCTTTGAGCAGGTAACAAATGATCTTTGAATTAGTGATAAGAAATTAGTTATATAAAGATCTAGAGGATTAGTACATTTAAGCTGATGATTTTTCTTCCAGTTGCATTATTTCTATAGTATCATTAACACCACCTTTATGCATATTACATGTTATTTCTGTGTAGACATTCCTTATTTGTATTTAAAAATGAATACTTATTAATAATAGAAAATTCAATAATATAAAAAATGGTACTTAAGTCAGTCTTTGTGTAAAGTACCCTTCTACTAACAAGAAAATCTGTTATACAGGAGAATAAATTGAAAAGTATTATCTAAGAAGTCTAAACCTACAGGTCTATTGTTTTTAGTATATAAAATGTTAAACTTGCCTAACAGATGTTTTAGAAACACTAAAATTTGAAGGTATAGATAGGCTCAGTGGGAGAGCACTTGCCTATGATATGCAGGGCCCTGGGTTGAACTCTCAGCACTTGGGGTGGGAGAGGAGAAAAGACTAGAAACGACTTAAAAAAATTTATAATAGTGATTAAAGAAGTAGTCACTAAGTAGTCACTGAGTTTATCTGCCACCTGTTGGGATTCAAGACAAGTTTTCCCTAACAGAATTTCAGAGAATCAATTATAAATAACTATTCAGAAAATAAAACATTTCAATCTTCAGTTCAAAGGCCTGTTTGCTTTGTTATTTAAAATTTTCTCCATGATTCTCATGGTACTCTTATAGGTATCTCTCACTAAAAACAAGTTTTAGTGAAAAAAACATGTGAGAATAAACCAAAGATGGGTATGTGCAACAAGTCCTGTAATTACATAAGTGTAAAGTAGAAACAAAATATGTAAATTCACTTACAAAGTTAGTTCTTTACAAACACCATAGTAGTTTTTTACTTTCTAGTTCAGAAGGCCAAAACCAAATCAAAACAATATCAGAAACTCTTTCATATGTGTGAGATAGTCTGAATAAAGGAAACACGTTTAGAAAATGGCAGTTCTATACGAAGGCCCACATGAAGAAAATATCTTAAGTTCCAATAAGAAATTCTACCTGTTTTTTTTTTTTCACATTTCAGTCTATTATATGTGGTTTTATCTTTTGTTTTTTAAATGTTTTCCTTTTAAAACAAGATTATTACATATTTCTTATACTTTTGAATTCTTAATGTCAAGACTCTAGATGTTAAAAAAAATGCCATACACTAAGCTGGGCATTATCTGATAGTCAAAAAAATCTTCTGTTAAGAATTATAATTTTAGTGATCAACAAGTTTGGGCAAAATGTTTAATCACACCGAGCCTAAGGTGTCAATGCTGGAATTCAATCACACATCTGCTTGAATTATGTCTTATCAAACTAAACTACCCTTCCATTAAATATTTTGATTCAAAGAAATTAGTATTTTTATTTATATCACCATTATCCACGAATATTCTGTTTCTTTGCTCCTAAGTATTTGTTTTAGACATCTATCTCCTCCAGCTCTCCTATTTCCTACATGATGCTCAATAATTACTTACCCAATTAAAGGTAGCCAAAATTTAATCTTCAGTGAAAAAAAGAGGCGGACACACACACACAACACTATTAAGATGGTATTTTTAAATTGAAATGATGTATTACCCAAATGTATAATTACAAAAGACATAATATTTTCCATTATTTTCTTTGTGGAAGCTACAGGAGTTTTTTCATCAGTCAGAAGGTATGTGGTATTAACAATAAAATGTTACTTAATACATACATTTCTCTCAAAAATTTAAAAATACATTTACTACAGAAAACCGAGTTATCACAACTAAATTTGGGAGATTTAAAATACTAATACATTATTATCCAAAGTACATATATAAAGACATGAATTGGTGTGAATATACTTTGTATACAACCAGAGATATGAAAAATTGTGCTCTATATGTGGAATAAGAATTGTAATGCATTCCGCTGTCATATATAAATTTTTAAAAATTATTAAAAAATAAAATAAAATACTAATACAAATATTTATGCAATATATATTTCCTTCTATTGCAAGATGATCAGCATATGATGTGATTCTTCCCCTCAAGGACTTTATATTCTAGTTGGGATAATAATATTATTTTAATACAAATGTAAAATTATAATGAATGCATCCTTTCAGAAGTCAAAAGACATATATATATATATGTAAAAGATCCCTTTCCTACTTACTAAAAATTTAAAATCAACCCATAAAAATTTTGGTTTTCAACATCCTCAAGTTCAAAATCACTGCTGATTTTATAGTCTCTAGATAACTGGTGTTAATCAGAAACCACAGCTAAGTTTGGGCATGTTATTTTAATGAATGAATAGCAGCACAGTTTAATAATTGAGAACTTTAATGAAAACAATTTACAAAAGTCAGAATATAAATAAATCATAGAAATCCTAGCCCAATGCTCTCTAAAATGTAATATATAATTTTTTATAACATTTCACTTATAGTAAAATGGCATGAGCACAGATAATACCCTCTATTATTGGGTAAGGCTAATATTCTAAAAGTAATTAAACTTTTCAGGGGGAAACTATATAACAAATCCTGCATATGATATACTAATAAACTATAAAGTGGATCCCTCACCATGGGTTCTCAATTTTTGCTGCTCTTTAGCACTATTTGGAGGAGTTTTGAAAACAGTGATGCCCAATTCAACACCTAAGATTCTAATTTCATTGGACTGGGGTACAGTCTATATGTGGGCATTTAAAAAATATTCCCCAGGTAAATTTTAGTGCAGCCAAGACTAAGAGTCACTGTTGTAAACGCATAAGTAATTATTTAAATATTTATCTAAACTTGGTTTGTCATTATCTTAAAAATAATTTCAAGAAATATGAATTGAAAATCTTGTAGATTTTGTAATTATCTTGTTTATGTAGTACATAAATGTAAACCTCATGTAGTACATAAGTGTAAACGTCATCACAAGGTTAAACTATCTTTTCTCTAGGAGTTTATTAAATTAATACCACTATCATCAAATAACCATACTGGATGTTGTGAGAGAAAGAAACAGAGCTGATTCCTTAAGACATACAACCTGTTGAAGACACTAAAGCCACAGAGTTGTAGAATTTTAGAGTTACTTCATGGAAAGAAAAATGTCACATGATCATACAGAATTGAAAAATGACACAGGATTTCCCATCAAGCTCCTGTGGTTTGAAAAACCTTCATAATTGAGATGGACTTGAAGCTGTTATTAGGAAGAAAGAATAAGAAGGGAGGGGATGGAGGGCATTCAAGATGGGTTATAAAAACCTGGAGTTAGGCAAGTACAAGATATTTTGGAAATTAAAAAATAATACATGATCAGAATGCAGTTTTTTTGTGAGTGACAGAAAAGTGCAGATTGCAAGGGAGAATTTTACATTCAACTAAATTTGGTCTGAAAAAACTGAGTCTGAGAACAAATAAATGGCTATTAAAACGTTAGTGGACTAGCACAGTGATGATACCAGTAACCCCAGCTACTCAGGAGGTGGAGATAGGAGGATCTCAAGCTCCAGGGCAGCCTCAGCATCTTACGGAGATCTTGTCTCAAGTTTAAAAAAAGTGCTGGGGATATAGTTCAGTGTTCCAGATACTGGGGTTCAATCCCCAGTATCACACACACAAAACACAGATACTTACTAAATAATTTAGCAAGGACAAATTACTTGATGCTTTTGTATTCTATTGTTTTGAGGTAGTTAGAAAACAAGTACTCAAGTGGACTAGTCAAGAATAAATATTCCTACTCCTTTATACATTCTACCTTAACATTCTTTTCAAAATGCCAAGGTTTGGGGTTGGGATTGTGGCTCAGCGGTAGAGCGCTCACCTTGCAAAATGCCAAGGTTTATAAACAAATTTTAGAAGGAAGAATGGAGTGACGGTAAGATCATTCATACATACTTTAATAGTTTGAGCTGATGTACTTTAAAACAAGGAAGTTTAATTTTTAACTTTTTAAAGTAAAATGAAAAAAAAGGTATGGTAATTAATTGTCTATCAGAATGGCCTATTCTTTAAAGTACAATTTGATTTGAATGGAAATTATTTAGTAATGAGAAAACTTAATTTTTTCCTTACTGTTTTTTATTACTCATAAAGTCACTGGCATAGCTCTTAACGTAGTCTTAGCATGAATTGTGGTAGTCTGGCATTTATGCTGATGTCAACTCAATTTAGAGTAGGAACTCAGTTACTGACTAAATATTGAAATGAGAAAGCAGTGTTTTGTTGAAAATTACCACACAGCATTTCAAACTACATGTTATTTTATGAAAGCATCTTTTTTCCTAACCTTTATTTTTAAGAAAGTATTACGGAGAATGTCAAACATACAAAAATAAAACAGTATAATGAAAAATAGTATAATAGAAGCCCAAGGACCTATAACTTCCCTTCACAAACTGTCAACACTAATTGTTTCAACTGTTTTTTCTTCTGAAATATGTTAAAGCAAACATCAAAGATAGAAGTTTTTCTATATTTCAGTTGGTGTCTGTGATAGTTATGAGAATATAAAAGACACATTAAAGAAGCCTGTTTATTTTGAAAAAGTTCCTTTTTTAATAAATGGTTGACGTTAAAACCTTGGGAATCATCCTCAACTTTTCTTTCATATTTCAGAGTCAATGTGACAGCCAACATGGTAAAGATTTTGAACCTCCTCTTGCTATTACTATCAACTAAATCAAAATTACCTTTTGACTGTTCTAAGGCCACAGTCCCCTAACTTGTTTATCTTTAACCTGTGAAACCCCCAAGTTTGCACAAGTTGCATTTGTTTCTTTTTTCTGAAATGCTTTTCCTCAAAAACAAACAAACAAAAACAGAAAACCCCACTGTGGCTGTGTGATTCCTTGAGGGTTCTTTGAATTTCACCTTCCAAGAAAGACCTGCCCTGACTATATACTATCTATATAACACACCCACCACCACCAACCCTGCCATTATCCTCTTCTGCTGGCCTTTTCTAACAGCTTTGCTAGAATGTAAGCTCTGGGAGGGCAAATACTTTGTTGATTTTATTCACTGCTATATTACCAGAGTCCAAAATAGTGACAGGCAGACATGAAGGCTGATAAGAAAATTAGTTGATAGCTAACAGATGAAGATGGAATTTAAGAACCTTTTCCTAAAGAATTTGAAACAACAAGTACTTAAATCATTTGAGAAGTACACTTTTTAGGAGCTTTGCTAGAATTTTCTTTTTTTGTGTGTGTGTGGGGGTGGGGGGGGGCTTACAGGGGATTGAACTCAGGGGTACTCGACCACTGAGCCACATCCTCAGCCCTATTCTGTATTTTATTTAGAGACAGGGTCTCATTGAGTTGCTTAAAACTTCATTTTTGCTGAGGCTGGCTTTGAACTCATGATCCTCCTGCCTCAGCCTCCCGAACTACTGGGATTAGAGGCGCATGCCACTGCAAAAGGCAATTTACTTTTTAAAATTGAGTCCATCAGCGATTTAAATTAGACTAAATTCTAGTAAAATGTATCTGTCCTATTTAAGCAGTGTAGGATAAGTACCTGAAACACATCTAATTGTATTTAATAGAACGGCACTACATGGTGTCAAATTTGCATCAAGCATCTAGAATCACCAGCAAACATCATTTAAAACAAAATATACTAAAGGCTCCATCCAGTCTTCTGTTGCAGTCAATGTTAAGTCTAAAAGAAATGTCTCATAATCAAAATTTACTTCAGACTCTCATTCACCTTATATTTTAGAAGTAGGAGAAAGGAAGGTTAAAGCAACTACCTTGTTGCTTAACATGCAAACTTAAGAACTAAATTATAGGAATTTCCCATTTGAAATGCTCAGATTGTACGAGATGATCTTTAAGGTCTCTCTAGGCTACAACATTCTATTCTATATATCTTAAACCCGCACTGCTTATCCAGGATGAGAAAGCAGCTTGCTGTAGTAAGTTAGACAGCACTGGTTATTTACTAGCTGTGCAAGTTAAGCAAGTTATAAAACTTTGCAGAAGCTGCTTCCTTATACATAAACGGCCGTTAATAACGTCTATCTGGCAAAGTGACAGAAAGGATAGCAAAATTCTTGACATACAGTTTTCCATAATATTGGCAGCTATTACCTTCTTTTGCCAATGATATCGCAATGTAGAATCAACCATGCCAATAAAATTAGGGTGAAGGAGACAAGGAAAGTAAAATAATAGAACAGATTTACATTTTAGTGTTAATTTGATATGCATATTAGAAAATTATTTGTTTTCTTCTTACAAGAGAATACTGTTGCTACTCTGTCATTAACATAAACACGAGATTGTATATAACCCATGTTGTGAAATTTACATCTGTTCATAGATTTAACTGAGTTAGCATAATGTGGGTGATGACTATAGGAAGCTGTCCAAGTTCTCCACAACTGACACTTCCTTGATTGCAGAATACCAAAAGATAGTGAACTTTTCCCCCTTAAAGTATATTTGAAACATACCACTGTGACCATGGTGTAATATGAATATCCCCCATCACTCCTTGCTTCCCATTTTGGGAATGAGTGAAAACACCCAAACTCCCATGTTTTCCGTGTACTTGGCAAAGTCTGGATATCAACAGGCGATCTCCATTTGCCCCAAGAGCTGCCAAGCGCAGGGACAGTCCTTTCAGAGAGGGCTGGAGGGAACTGTGTTGGCAGCTCCCTGGGTAGAGGGGAAGGAAAAGGAAACTCCCTTCTTGGACTCCGCAGGGAGGGTGAGCGACTAAAGGAAGGGGTGGGGGTGGTGCAAGAATGGTCCGTCTGGGTTACCCTGCCGGACTCGCCCGGCCTCCGGCAGGCAGGGGAAGAAGGTCACACGGAGTAGCGTCGCGGGTTGAGAAAAGCGGGCGGGGCAGCGCCCCCGCCCCGGGACGAACCCAAGGTGTCCTCCAGCGGCCGGAGGAAGGTCCGGGCCGCGTCGCCACCCAGCCTCGCTTCCCAGGAGCGGCGGTTGAGCAGGAGTGGGGTGGGGGGAAAACGGCCAGCGGGGCCAGGCCGCGTCCCTCACCCAGGCCCGGGGGCTACAGCAGGCCGGCGGGCAGATGGCGAGGCCGGGGTACCCGGGCGCCGCCGCCTCCAGCCGGGCAGAGACGGCCCCTCCCAGACTTTCCCCCGGCGCCGCCACCCTTTTCCCCCACCAGCGCGGTACCTGCACAGCACGACTGAGGAAGGTGCCCGCGTCGGCTGCCAGCTTCTTCATGTTGAAGTCCATGATGTTCATTCTGGGCGGCAGCCGGGCAGAGCCGCCGGCGGACCTGACCGGGAGGCGGAGGCGCCGCGACAGGGCTGGGGCTCAGGGAGAGCGCGGCGGGGGCAGACGTGGTAGGTGGAGGGAGGCGGCGCCAACCCCGCCGCCCCAGCTGTCGTTTCCGTGGAGGGGAGGAGGAGGGGTGAGAGGGTGGGGCCAGGGGGAGAGAATAAGCGCCTCCGAGCAGGCCGCGCGCCCAGCGGCGGCCGCCGAGAAACTGGGCCTATCGAGCCGAGAGAGCTGCCTCTAACGTCGCCGCTGGCCGTAGCGGGGGAGCTGGACCCCGGCGGGCATCCCTGAGGTGTGGGGCCGGCTCCCCAAACGTGGAAGCGAGCACCGACCGCGGGGCGGAGCCTTTATCATGGTTATCGCGGGAACAGCGCCCTCTGGAGGCTCGTGGCCGCTCAGCCGCGGGGCGCTCCGGGAGCTCCTCCCCTCAGCTTGCCGGGGAGTTTTAGGGGGCGCTCCGCGGGGTCTCTTTGCTGCTGCACGTTCGCAGTTAACCTCTGAGAACCGAGAGTGCAGAGGACCCAGGTTCCTCTTTTAATTTTAAGAGGAAATACGGAAGTTAGGGCATAGAATTAAAGTATCTGTGAAGTTGGAACCAGCCGGCCCCAGTCATCTCATAGCACCGGCACGCCCCGCCTTTCCCTGAAGCCTGGATGGCCACTCTGCAAACGTTCGCAGAATGGGTTGCATTTAGCGTCCGCATCGACCCTGTTGTGTATTCATTCAGCACTTTTGAGTATCTGCTGTGTGCCAGGCGCTGAACTAGGTGCTGGAGATATCATGCTCTTACTCTCTTGACAACCTTCAGGGTGTTCACTCTGCTAACTGGAGCTGTTTGCTGCCCCTAGGACTTTGAATCCGTTGAGGCAGCAAGCTTGCAGGACTACAGATCCACATTAGGTGCCTGCTCTGTAAAGCATGGTGCTGGGGACTCTGTGCTGGGCCATGGACACAAAGAAGTTTAACATGGTGAGTGAAAGAGGATAGCCCTTGACAATTCAGCGTGATATTTCAGTAACAAATATAATGTCCAATCTGTTTGAAATCCCGTCCAAGTAACTTTTAAAGCAGCCTTCCGACAAAATCTATGCTTAAATGAAGTTAAAAAAGGTACTAGTATGGAAGGAGATTCATTGGTACTTCAAGAATAAGGAAACACTATTTTGTGTGTGTGTGTGTGTGTGTATAGTTGTGTCCATTTGATATAATGGGGCTGGGAAAATGCAGACCCAACAGGCAATGAAATGAGCTTCCAGTTAGGCTTCAGAAACAGCAGTCACAGAAGCAATAGATGCTGTTTAAGATTGAAAGATAAGGGAAGTAAAAACATTAAAAGGGCAAGTAGATAACTTATAAATATTTATCTTCTTTTATTCTTATTCTTTTTGGTGGTGATAGAAACAGTTACCTCTTTTTAATTTACTTTTTAATATTTATTTTTTAGTTGTAGTTGTTTGGACACAATACCTTTATTTTATTTATTTTTATGTAGTGCTGAGGATCGAATCCAGGGCCTCGCATGTGCTAGGCTAGCGCTCTACTGCTGAGCCATAACCCTAGCCCCTAACTCTTTTTAAAGCAACTCCAATATCACAAAATCTCCCAGCTCAGAAATACTCCATATCTTTCATTTCCACTTATTTCCCAGCAATACAGAACAGGAAACATACAATCAGAAATCCTATTTTCCTTTTACTATCTCTTTTAAATCTTTGTGTGGAGAAGCATTCTCTCTCTCTCTCTCTTTGTGTGTGTGTGTGTGTGTGTGTGTGTGTGTGTGTTTAAAATAGGTAATCTGCCATAAACTATGTTTATTTTTATAAATGCATCACACCACCATGTCCACCATTAAGAGAAAGAACCCTGGATCCTCTTCCTCAAGTGTTCAGATTTTCCTAGACTTAAAGAGAAAACTTAACTTCCTCCTTTTGAACCCTCCACAGCTGTAATCTTGTTTGCCATTCCCTTTGTCTACCTTATTTTCATAAATCCTTATTCTTAGCCTTTGATACCTTTTCTTTACAGAGAACATATAAATCGTCAGACTATTTGGAAGGATCTCCTTCAACTAAATTTTCTTATTTCCACCTCCTCTTCTCCACACTCTTTTCCCCACCATTACCTCATGTTTAAAAGGGAGAGGATCTCAGGTGTTCTGAGTAGAGCCACTGTTCCTTTAATCTTGGCTGCACATTGGCATCACCTGGAGACTCTAAGCAACACTAATGCCTGGATCCCATCCTGAATGTGGACTGGGCACTCGGATGTTTAAAAGCTCCCTCAGGTGATATCTAATGTGTAGATAAGATTAAAAATGAACCCATTGTCCTCTTGAACTATCTCTTCCCTTTGCCCACAGATAGATTCTGTTTCTTACCAGATGTGAGTCTCTCAAAGGTAGTAACCATTTCCAATTTATTTTAAAATTTTTATGTTCTACATTCCTGGTGACAGAGTGGATTCTCAGATAATTTGCTAAATGAATAATGTACTCAAGTCAAAATGTATACAGTTCTGGGTTCTTTTGTGACACCAATACCCTGAACGTAAACTTCCAAATACCTATTCACTTTCAGGTTCAGTGTTTCCAGTGGTAAGGCTGTTGTAGTTTGCTTTTACTTGAAAGTTGTTCCTTTTTTGAGGTTCCTATATTTGCAACTTGAATCACATGCAAAAATCACCTAAGCCAGAAATCTGAGCTCCTTTTGATCATTTCCTACCTCCTGACAGTTTTTACCTCCAAAATGTTTCTTATCTTTGTTCTCTTCTTTAAAAAAATTGAAATAATTTCAAACAAAAAAGCAAGAATGGTTCAAAAAATTCTGTAGACCCTTTGCCTAGAAACCACACTCAAGCCTTAGCCAATTGTTCCAGAGTTTATTTACAGCAGAAGCATCCAAGCTAAGAGCATGTGTTGTACCCATGTGACATGTTGCTCAATCCTCCTTCAATCCAGATCAGTTCTTCAGGCTCTTGGACATACTATCCCTCTCCCTCTGTTCCCCAGGGCTAACTTCTTAAGTTGATATATCAATGTCTCTTTTATTTTCTACTTTCAGTGAATTTTTTTTATGTATCTGTAAGTGATACTACTTATCTTCAAACTATGAAATGGGTATATAGATGTTTACTTTTTAATTAGGGATATAGTACTTTTGTTTTTGTCTGCTTTTATTCTTTGTGGATTGATTTCTTTTGTGTCTCATAACTTTTAAACCATATCTTCTGTTTTACTCAGTTTTTAATAAGAAATGGATGACCAGTTTAAAAAGTAATATCTAAAAATAAGTAACATTGCTTTACACCAGCTACCAATCAGAAAATATAATAAAAGAAAATATTTCATTCCTAGCAGTATCAGGGAAGTAGATTTTCTAGGTGTATGCAATTATTTTGCACGACCTGTATGGAGAAAATTATAATTCTCCATTGAGGGCCACCAAAGGAAACTTGACTAAATGGAGAAACCTTGTTTTTACTTAGAAAACCCCATATAATAAAGATATTCACTCTATTTAAATTATTTGTTTAATTTTTGGCAACATAGCTTTTTGTTTTTTAACTCATTCTTAGTGACTTGTTTTAAAAATGTTTCTTCTGTCAGAGGTACCTAAAGGATATCACTGCCCAGTGAGCAATTTTGGTATGAAATTCTTTCTTGGCTTGGAAGTTCCAAGATCATTTAGCTGTTATAGATTTAAAACCCAAATCAGTGGGAGTACACCATAATTATAAAATTTCAGGATAGACCCTGTCCCTTTTCAGAGCTTGTTCTATGACAGAAAATCTTCCTTAGCATCATATGGTTTAAAAGTTATGAGACACAAAATAAATCAATCCACAAAGAATAGAAGCAGACAAACCAAAAATATTAGATCCCTAATTAAAAAGTAAACATCTATATACCCATTACAAAGTTTGAAAATAAATAGTATCATTTACAGATACATAAACATCATTCAGACATCTTCCCCATCAGCCATGGGGTAGGTTTTATCTGGTCTGCCCTTCTACTGAAGATACAGAACTTCATGATTTTTAATTTATGTGTATATATGAGGCTATGAAGTGGGGATGGGGACACTAATTGTTACCAATTCCTGATTGTAACAAAGGTCTAAGGTCTTTTCTCTAGTTACTGTATGTGTTGAAAGCCACAGCCCAAGGGGCCCCAGCAAACTTTCAGACTGCCAGCTGATGATTGGCTCACAGGGGCCCCAGCAACTTCTAGCTGATTGGCTCCTCTGCGGTGATGCTCATTGGGCTGTTTCCCTGCGCTTTCAGACCACGGAGCTGCTCATTGGGGGACTTTTTTGGCTCCACCCACGCGACCCAGCCAATGGGCCTCAAGAGCAGGAGGAGTGGGGGAGGTGGAGAGGCTTGTGGGAAGCCTATGGTGGCAGTTGGGCTCTGAGGGTTATTCCTGAGGAGCTGTTTTGTTTGGCGTGTGTGGTTCTAAAAATAAAGTTTGTTTCTTTTGACAAGTGGCTCCTTAATTGTGCCCAGCCATACTGCGGCAGTATGGATTTTTATGATACACTATTTTTAAAATTGACATATATTTATTGTAAACATGATATTTTGAAATATGTATATATGTATTGGAATTAATAAACTGGGCTAATTATCATATGCATTATCTCACATACTATTTTTATGGTAAAACACTTAAATCTGTTTTCTTAGTGATTTTCAGGAATACAATATATTGTTATTAACTGTAGTCACCATGTGGTACAATAAATCTTGGACTCATTTCTATTATCTAACTGAAATTTTGAATTCTTTGACCAATATCACCCAACCCCTATCTATTCTCCCCTTCCCCTGCCCCTTGTAACCACCATTCTATACTTTGCTTCTATTAGTTCAACTTAGATTATATATATAAGAGGGATCATACATAAGTGAGATAGATGGTATTTCTTTCTATTTCTGGCTTATTTCACAAACATAATGTCCTCCAGGTTCATCCATGATTTTGCAAATGACAGAATTTCTTTTTTTAAAGGGGTTGGGGTTGTGGCTCAGTGGTAGAGTGCTTGCCTCGCATTTGTGAGGTCCTGGGTTCGATCTTTAGCACCACATAAAAATAAATAAATAAAAAGGTATTGTGTTCAAATACAACTAAAAAAATAAAT